TTGTTGTTGTTGTTGTTGAAGACTGAGATGCATCAGAAGAACGATGACTTTGATTTTAATGAAGACCTTGTCATCCATTACATAAGACAGGTCCTGGAACAACTTGTCACGGACGATACTAGCAGCACCTTAGTCATAAATATGGGCTTACATTTCGTCATGTCAATAAACTTCACTACTTACCAGCATTTTATTGACAAAACCATTGGAGTTTTCTTAGAAAACCAATATGGTGTTGGCCAAAACAAGTCACAATTAAAACACAAAACGATAATTATTTGGAAAACTACAACAACCGTTATCAGAGAACTCGGTTCTTTTCCATCAAATTCAACAAAATGGAGATTCCTTACGACTCAGGTAACATGTTTGCGTTTAATCTATACTCCCCTTTATTTGACTTAGGTTAAGGCGATCGTTAGGAGTTGGCTAAGGATGGTCAGGTTGAGAAGCGGCCWTTCATACAGTCAATTCAAAAAACGTTGTCGTCGACCGGCTCAAGCCTACGCGACTGGACCGAAAGGAATATGGGTAAAAATCACTGAAGCGGTTAAATATTCGTTCTGAATTAATTGTTCCCGCTAGTAATAAGATAATAATGGCGACAAACAATCCATCAAATGCATGTCTTTGGGTTTAGGGAAAGAAAMACAAAGTAGTTAAGTTCACAATTCGAAAATATGAAGGYATTAAAAAAACKTCTCCTTAAACACTTCCCGCTCGCCTACGAAGGTTCGTGCTGTAAACCAGGCATAACTAGTCAGATAAAATTATGAAGTCAACTCGGCTTCAATGATTGCTACCCAGAGTTCCTTTCGGTCCAGTCGAGTAGGCTTGAGTTGGTCGATGACAACATTGTTTGAATTTACTGTATACTAAAGGAAACGGAAAGAAACAAGGAATAAAGGACAATAAAATGAAAGATAAAGAAGATAAAGCAAATGAAAAGATTGAAACGCAGATGTATTTTACCGGTTTGACTATGGTTCTTCATTATTTCCACAGCGAATACTTCTCTTCAATTCCTACGCAATGTGGGCAATGTGTAAGGCTGGGATCCCTGTGCTTGATGTTCATCCAGTTACAGATTCCTACCCGCCTGGGGCAGATGATGGGGCTCATTATCCAGATTCTGTATTCAGTAATGCTGAAAAAGCCTTGGAAATCTTAAAATTAAATGAATTAAATGGCAAGAAAAGATTTAACAGGACAACAAAACTGACACCAAATCCAAAATTGCGGTGAAAAAGTGAACATAAAACTAAACCATTTTATCTAACAAATCAYTGCCCAAGTRAAAAACGAATAGACAATCCATTAATTACAATGACCTGCGCGCGCTGTCACTCTGTGGTTTAGACGTCACTGACACGAGTGAAAAAYGTCTGCGCATGCTCTAAATCCGTATGTAAATTAGTCAAACATATGTAAATTTGACTTTCAAACATGCCTGATAAATTGGACTTCACAAAATGCCAAAACTTGGTGTCCATGCTTGAAACTTTATCTAATTCTTTTATATTGTGTTTGTTAATACAGTATCTTGGTCTGACAAAAGTATACTTGCGAAATGTTTTGTATACTTGGAGAAAACAAACATTTATTTTCTCACTCAAACTCTTCAAAATTCTTAGAAAACGTGCTGAAATGCACGCATGCGCAAACGTTTTTCTCTAGTGTCGACGTCACTTATTTCGGTAATTGATGACGAAATAAAGTRCGTAATCGATTCATTTTCATGCTTTCCAGCATTTTATAAAAACCGCCGCGAGAAAGAGAGCATTGGAAGGTGGGGCTTATTGTGATATTTAGTTTTATTCAGTATGAGTCCCGAATTCGGATAAAAAAAGCATTTTGGTGTTTTGAAAATGTCTAAGAAGCAACAGAAGAAGAAGAAGAAGGAGAAGAAGAAGAAGGAGAAAAGAAGGCCCAGACGTGAGTTCTATAAATCCGCTTCGYAGTTCGACGTCGGGCATTTTCCTTCAAACTTTCCACATTTAGCTAAGCGTCATAACAAAGTTGTAGCTGGAAGAGACACCATATTGAATTTCATTTATGCAAGTGTTTCTCGGATCCGTATTTGCGGCTCTGTTTCTGGATAAGATCCTTAGCAGTTAGAGCTCAGCGGTTAGCGGTAAACCTGATGCTAAAGGTCTCTATTACTAATAGACAAGCAATACTGACAATACTACACAAGCAATTTTTATTTAACAGTTTTAATGTGACAACTGGAAAACAGAAAGTTGTTTTGCAGTTGAATTTTCCTCTTGACTTATGTTAAAGGTTTTCATGTCGTTTTTGGAGAAACGCTGTCAACAAAACGCGCACGATCACCTCTCCGCTTTTCGGACTCTCTTTTCACAGCTTGGATTTTCACTTATTCCATTTGTCAATCAAGTAATATGTCAAMGAGGTAACCATGTCTAGAAGGAGTTAGTCTTCTCAAGTTTAAAGCTCTGTTCAATGGCGGTTGCAACAGAGTCTTTTAGCCACCCCAGTACGGATGTCCGATAGGCGAAGGGAATAGATGATGGGGTTGATGAGAGACTGCAAATGGAAAAATGTCACRTAAATACCTTGCGATATATATCTGAAGTCATCACTCCAGTTACCCTTCACAGCTCCTACGATCTTCAAAACCAATATTGGACACAAACACGCCACGGATGCTAGCACTATCAAGCCTAGAGTGAAAATGCGCTTGTATTCCTTGATYTTACTTTGCTGGACTACAGGTTCTTGTTGGGCAGCGATGGCCCTCATCTGTCGACGGGCYGTCAGGTGTATTTTAGTAACGCAAAATAAGATGACAACGAAGCTGAGACCGATAGTTAGAATCACAGGAAGCTGCCTCGCCCAGTAGGAGTCGTTCACCAGGAATCTACTTGCTGGAAGTACTGTCCCCAACAGAACCCAGCTAACTGCTATTGCTATCATCAGTTTCTTTGAGGTGACAGAAGTCTGATAGTACAGGGGATGTTCTATGTAGAGGTATCTTTCCAGGCTGATGATCGCCGTGGTAACAGCTGTCAATGCACTACAGAGTACCTCAAGCATCACACAGGACATGGTCAATTCACAAATATATGTACATTGGTTTATGATACAGATTAGCAAAGAAACAAACAGCGGTTGTACGACGAGTCCGATTAGAAGATCACTAAGCGAAAGGATGGCCACAACGAGGTAATAGCTGTTAGATCTGAGTTGTTTATTTTCCAACACGGTCCAAATTACCAGCGAATTGATGAGGACAGTTGGCGGAGAGGTAACGACGTTGATGACAACTAGACAAATCCACGTCGGAAAGACTGATGCTGAAAGATTGGTAATGTTTTTTGGTTCAAAATCAATAGTTATCGGGCATTGAACATTGGAAATGTTTTGGTTTGATGTCGATGCCATGACCCACTAACMAGAATCCGTCCCGTTAACAGAATCTTTAATTTGAACGTTCCTCGCCCAACGTAAAATAATTTGTTTTCCCCCTCAAATGTTTTCGTCTTATATTAAACTCAATTGAGTGTTTCATTAGGAAACTCAATCTTTGGATATTAGTCTTTTGTAAWGTTAATTCTTAATGGAAAAAGACATTAAAAGTGCCAATTGTTTGAACGCAATTAACGTTTTCCCCCAGTTTTCGGAGATGAAATAGAATTTCTATAGTGATTATTTTTATATTCTCGGAGATTAAATAGCTTTTTTTAACAATGAGCATTTCATTTCCTCTTATTTATTTATTTGCTCCTATTTAAAGGAAGTGCTATGAAAACACGTTTTTTTCTTTAAACTTTATTTAAAAATAAATCGACCATACGCAACCACRTTACTGCGAGGCCGTGATAACAGGTGGATCATGATTACGTAATCATAGAAGTTTGTACGAATATAGCCGATTAGGATTGGGTGGGATTTTCAAAATTTAAACCGTTTTTGAAAAGATATTTTCTTTTTTATTTATTACCGTTGATATTATGGATATTAGGAAGCTACAAATCCAGAAAATAGAATGTTTGTTTTCAAAATGAAAAGTTCGGCACGTAAATATACAAATTCTTGACCATTAGTTAAAAGAAGATGAACTCGTAAAAGGTRGTTACTGTGTGTAAAAACCTACATTGATATCGTTTTCAGTCCGACAACTGATATGCATGCCTGCTGATTATTGGAGTTTGAAAAGGCGACAAAATTGAGCGGAGTTACGTACAGTCAAGGTGATCCAGATTTCTAAAACTCATGAGAAAACAAAGCAAATCACTACTGTGACGGTGGTTTGGAAATCTGTTCTTAATTTTCATTAAATTTCGTAAATTTTTTCTTCGATTTTCTCCAAGAAATATTCATGAGTTTGAGAAATCTGGATCACTTTGATTATACGTAACTCCGCTCAATTTTGTTGCCTTTTCAAAATTTGAAACACTTGAGAGAGTTCTTCCTTCGATTTCCAAACACCGAAAAGTGAGTTTCGGCGTTTGGAAATCGAAGGAGAACTCTCTCGCGTGTTTGAAATATTACTTCTATATATTTTGTCGTGTTTGCCAAATTCAAAATGGCGGACGAAAGCGTGGTGGCTTATGCTGCCGTAAGACTTTCTCTAGCACGTCTAGCTCGTACGGCTTCCGAGATTTTCTCACTTTTTTTATCGTCACACCATTTTTATATACTTTCCATCATTTTGAAATACTTTTTCGGCGATAGAAATAATCGTTTTCCTCGTCTTCCCAGTCTGGACAATCTAGACGCCATTTTGTTTTGAAAAAGAAGAAACCACATAACCATGGCAACAGTGCAATTTCACATGTGAAATAACAAATTACTCGTGAAACTTCAACTTGAAATTTGGAAGTAATTTGTCCTCTATGATATGGTGTTATGAGGAAATAAAAAACGTGCGCGCATGCTGTGTGCATTTATAAAGCACGCGGGAATAGGTAGAACACGAAAGAAGTGTTAGAAGAAGCACGAAGTGTAGCATACCTATTTTTACGCTGGAAAATCTCGCCAAAATATATGTCTATTRATTAGCGAGATCTTCGAGTGTAAAAAAAAAATCGAGTCTGCAAAGCAGGCTTATTATTTTTCTGTTCTACAAATCAGGAAATTACCTGAGAAAAGCTCATTAGAGTGCTTTTAGTCTCACTGTTGAATAGGTGACGTCAACTAAATTAGATAAGTTATTTACTATTTTAGGTGACGTCACCTAAATTTGAAACTACGAGTAAACAGCTACTGAGATCAGCGGGAAAAAYGATGATACAAATGAATGTCTATTCACTAATTCTCTGGTAAAACAACCCCCCGGATTAGCATGACCGTTATTTGGCGCGCTTTTACTATTTCAGTTGACGTCAACTAAATAGTTATCTAAGTTAGATAAATTTATTTAACTAGTCAACAGTGAGACTAAAAGCACTCTAAAGCGCCAATATTTTCTACTCTAAATTACGTATGAAAGTTAAAATATTTTTCGAAAAGTGGCAAAAAACTTTGTGTGTGTGTGTATGGGATCACAGGGAGGAGCCTGCTGATTTAGATAAAACTGAAAGGTGAAAATAGAATGGGATAAAGCCGATTGGCTTTCAAAATTATTTCTTTGTTCAAGGTCAAGTCTAGTGTCTTCCATAACGCAAAAAGTAATTAAATCGCTAATGAATATTTTTACAATGGAGGGACCATTTACTGATGTGAACTAAAAATAACCACATTAGGCTAGCGCGAAAAAAAAGGTTATTTCATTATGATCTATCTTATTTTATCTTTGTTTCCAGCATTTCCAGGTCACTTAGGTATAGGTCCTAAAGAACCCCAGCACAATTACGCAATTTTTCCATTATATCGCGGGTGAATCAGAAAGAAAAAACAACAACAAAGCATCTTATGACCAGTTTACCACAAACAAAACGGTAATAAGAAAACATAGTCAAACCCGTAAAATACATCTGCGTTTTCTTTCCATTTTTCCTCATTTCTATTCATGACGACTGTAAAAACATATGGCACGTATTAAATGTGGTGCGGTKACCTTGACAGTTTTGTTAGTGCATTCTGATTGGATGAGTACCAATCYAGTACATTAAATGGATCGTTCCATGGACATCGTTATTTTCTTTCCGTAAAATGCCTCCAGATAATCCAAACCCATGCGAAATCTAGTCGCGTCCATCTGGCGTGAATTGAAAGGCAAACAAGCAAGTATAGTGTCCATGTAGGACACAGGACACTAGCGCAAATAAACGAGCAGTTTGCATAAACCAATCAAACAAACAAGCATACACAACGAACGAGGATCAGCTAGCGAGAAGGAGTAATCCGGTCATTCGCTTTTCACTTTCCGGATGGCCACAGTATCTGTTAAACGCTCGGTTTCGCATTTGATCCATATTCGTAGATGAAAGATTAAGACATATGAACATGGGTTCATCCTAGTAATTTGTCTAACTAAAGTGAAAAGCGTTAGGTGATACTGGAAACTAATTTGAACCATGGTTTCATCCTAGTAATCTGTTTAATCACCTCCAGCGATAATCCAAAATGGCGGACATCCGCTTTGTTGCTGCTAACGTGAAAAAAATGCCTTATCTTCTTTTTTTCTGTTTTGAAAGAATCACCTGTGTATTTATACTAAAACAATTATTCGCCTCAGGCTCAGTGAATATGGAGAATATTTACCTCTTCACTCGAAGGCTCGCATCTCRCTAAATATTCCCCGATATTCACTTCGCCTTCGGCGAATAATTGTTAAATAGCATTCATATGACGCATACGTACACGTCTTGGTCTTCTGTTCTTCTTCTTCAGTTGCTGCTTAAAATGCTCGGCATTTTTTACCCAAAATAATAATTTATTTGATGTCTGGACTCAGGATAAGAAAATGAGCTCAATAACAGCACACACAAATAAATATCATAATAAGCCCAACCTTCCAATGTTCTCGTTCTCTTGTTCTTTTACGAATTGCTTTAAAGCACGAAAATGAATCGATTACCTTTATGACGCACTTTATTTCGTCATCAATTACCGAAATTAGTGACGTTTAAACCACAGGGTGACCGCGCGCGCAGGTCATTATCAATAATGGGTTGTCTATTCGTGCTTACTTGGGCAGTGATTTGTTAGATAAAGTAGTTCAGTCTTGTGTTCACTCTGTCACCACATTCTTAATTTGCATTGGGTGGCAGTTCTGTTCTTTTTTTGCCATTTATTTCATTTATTTTAAAGCTTTCCAAGGCTTTTTCAGCATTACTGAATACAGAATCTGGATAATGAACCACATCATCTGCCCCAGGCGGGTAGGAATCTGTAACTGGATGAACATCAAGCACAGGGATCCCAGCCTTACACATTGCCCACGTTGCGTAGGAATTGAAGAGAAGTATTCGCTGTGGAAATAATGAAGAACCATAGTCAACCAGTAAAAAATTCCCACTTTTTCTTTCATTTTTTATTCTTATTTAATTTCTCTTCCCTCTTTTCATTCTACTGTCCTTTTCTTCTTGTTTTCATGTTTCTTTCTTTCTTTGTACTATTTTTTCTTTTTAACCAAACATATAAGGTCGTTAGCACTGGATCTCTATGGTTTTTAAACTATCTGGCTTACTTTGTTAAACGTCAGCGTTCTAAAGGAGAACTTTCTTTAGGGGGAAATGTTTGATACAAAGTAGCTAGTTATGCTGCTAAGCAGGGAGTACTACACTTAAGCAAACATGTTACCTGAGTCGTGAAGAACCTCCATTTTGTTGCATTCGATGAAGAAACCGCATGCTCTTTAGAAATAACAGTTGTAGTTTTCCATATRATTCTTGATTTGTGCTTTAATTGTGACTTGTTTTGGCCAACACCATATTGGTTTTCTAAGAAAACTCCAATGGTTTKGTCAATAAAATGCTGGTAAGTAGTGAAGTTTATTGACATGACAAAATGTAAGCCCATATTTATGACTAAGGTGCTGCTAGTATCGTTCATGACAAGTTGTTCCAGGACCTGTCTTATGTAATGGATGACAAGGTCTTCATTAAAATCAAAGTCATCGTTATTCTGTATCTCAGCCTTGAACAGATATTTTAAAGAAACAAGAACGGAACGGGTTAGAAAGTTAATAAATCAAACAGGATATCGATGGAGATGGACAAACGAAACGACCAAACCAAAACCTACTGAAACCTACCAAAACCTAC